ATTTTTTATTAAATAATTATTATTAATAAATTAAATTTTAATTTAGATTTTTAGAAATGGAAACCTTTCTTTTTTATCGCATAATAAACAACAAACCAACCAACTCATATATTTTCAAATTTAATTATTTATAATGTATACAGTATGTTAAGAAAAAAAATAGCCCGACAAAAAACTTAATTACTCAAAATAATTAGATTCATTTAAAAACTTTATTAAATAGTGAATTTTTAATACCGAAAATTAATTTTCATACTTCCAAAATTATTGATCGTCATTTGTCCCACTATTCACACATATACTGCTTGCATCAATCAACTCAATATCGGGCATTTTTTTCTTCAACATTGTCATTAAATTATACGTCACATATTCTCTACTGGATTGAGGTCAAGACCGTTTGATGACCATTCAATTACATTAATATTTTCTTGTGCAAAAAGATTCTTGCAACACGCAAAGTATGCTTTGGTTATTATCCTTTTGCAGGCACCAGTTTCCACCATACATACAACCTTTGCGCAGTGAACAAAAGCTAGCCCCGAAATACGCTGACATGATATGATCCATCCATAGTTTCAGTGAAAAAACAAACAAGATGTTTTTCCTTTTAACGAAATACCGCCCAGGCCATCACTTTCTGACGAGATTTCGGTAATCTACAAATTGGTCTTTCACCATCTTTGTCATCTTTGATTTTGTTTCTAAATAGATCAAATGCGTAAATAAATATGGTACGACTCCAATTATCATTCAAATGAATCTGTGCCCTCTTTCTTCTCAAAAATGTTGTTATCTTGATAGTCTTGTGTGAATTAATAATGCAACCAGCGCAACTTCAATGGCAATAATTTATGTTCTAGCCTCAATATATCCGTCAAAGCTATACACTTACTTTTAACATTGGAGTGGCAATGGAACAAAACTTTTTTCCATGTGCTGCCAGATAGAAACATGTGAATTGGATCACCATAACTCTGTTGAACTCTGACCGCAAGCTGGCGAGTTGAAACAGCATTATTTTTACAAACAATTTGTCAAATAGAACAAGACATTCTTGTTGGCCACATCCACTATGGTCTACAGTGTTAAATGTTTCAGAGACAAAAAATAATACAACAAAGAGCGATTTTATGTATATACAGTCAATATTAAATGAGTAAACAAACGTATTTTATTATCGTGCATTAAAATAATTCTTTTCTCAACACACTGTATATATTTCTTTATTTAATAAATAATTGAAAGAGAAAATTTTCAAAAAGAACCTCCAATTACATGTATTGCATTATTGGTTTTTTTAAGGTTCAAGACGTTTTGGATCACGAGGGAACAATGAACTTCTTCTTATATCATCTAAATTCAAATATAACATAACGACACGTTCTAATCCTATATATTTTGTAAGATGTAAGTTTTTAAAAGATTTATTATTATAAACAAAAAAAATCGATTATTATTGACAACATACCTATACCACCACCTGCATGAGGCGGAGCTGCCCTTTTAAACGAATCAATGTATGATTGTATTGTAGCAAGATTAATGCCATGTTCTTTAGCACGCTCCTCCAAAAATATATGATCGTGAATACGTTGTGATCCTGAAAGGATTTCTTGTCCACGCATAAAAAAATCGTATGAATTTGAATAGAGCTACAAATAAATATAATAAATATATTGAAGAAATGAAATTTAATTATAAATTATTTTTAAACAGCAAAATATTATTTTATTGATTGATTATGATTACCTTGTCGTTAGGATCTGGCATTGTGTAAAATGGACGAACTTCCAATGGAAATTTGTCAACTATGTAAAAATCTGTTTTATACTTTTCTTTGATCAATTTACCAAGAAGTTTTTCTTTTTAAGTACTAGTTAATTTAAAAAAAGTTTTTTTTGGAAAAAAATATATAACAACCATTATTAAATCAAAAATAATCAAAATAACCCAACCAAATATAATTAACTCACCTCAAATCTTCATAATCACCTATTTCAATCCCATTTTCTCTTAACAAACTAACAATATCTTTATATTCCAATCTTAAGCTTTTCTGTGAATTATATTCAAAATCAGTCGAAGGAAACTGTTTTTTAATGGCTTCGATTTCCGATTTATATCGTGTTTTCAATCCATCAAAAATATAGACAAATAATTCATCTAGGATATCAAGTACTTCATGATAATGTTCTTCAAAAGCCATCTCTAAATCAAGTCCAACAAATTCTGTCATATGTCGATGAGTGTTTGCATTCTCTGCTCGGAAAACTATCATTTTGTAGATAGAATAAATATTATAATTGTTATTATTATTGATTGTTGTTGAAGGAATAATTTGTATATATATTTATAAATGTGAAGTGAATTACCAGGTGCTATCTCGAATACCCTCTCAAAATCTGAACATATACACATTTGCTTATATAATTGTGGTGATTGTGCAAGGTATGCTTCACCTAATTTTTTTTTATTTTAATAAAAAGAAATTTTAATTTAATTTTCGTCAAACACTTTACGTATGTATTTATGTAAGAATAAATAATACCTTTGAAATATTTCACTGTGAATAAATTTGCACCACCTTCACTAGCCGCACTAATTATTTTTGGTGTATGAATCTCGATAAAATTCTTTGATAAAAGAAAATCACGAAATAATTGACAAACTCCAGATTGAATTCGGAAAATTGCATTATTTGTTATTGTCTTTCATTTTTAAATTGAATTATTATTATCAAGTATTAAAATGGTTAATTTTCTAATCTGATTGGTTCACAAATTTGAAATATTAATCAAGTCAATAAACTTACACGAAGGTCAACTATACGATGATTTAATCGTGTATCTAATGCAACACGACTATATTGAGCATCATCCTAAATAAATATGTTAATAAATAAATATATATCTATATTAATCACATATCTCATACTCATATATGTACCTTTTTAAATTCTTCTTCAGTTCTAGATGCATCTTCCAAAGAAAATGGAAGTCGACCAGCAGTTTCACTGATAACATAAAGCTAATAATAATAATAATAATATAGTTGTAATTAAAAAATAAAATTATATATAAATAACAAATTGATGATGATGAATGGTATTTACTTTCTTGATATGTAATTCTGCATCAGATACAGTAGTACTTTTAATTTCTTCACTTGGCTTCCTAACAATACCTTCAATAACGACTATGCATTTTTCATGAATCCCCTCATA